GAAGAACAAATATTGTGAAAATGTCTATTCTACCTAAAGCAATCTACACATTTAATTCAATCCCTATCAAAATCCCATCCACTTTTTCAAAGAAATAAAACAAATAATCCTAAAATTATTTACCTAAAATAATCCTAAAATTATTACCAGGAAAGACCTTGAATAGCCAGAGGAATATTAAAAAGAAAGCCAAAGTTGGTGGCATCACAATTCCAGACTTCAAGCTCTATTACAAAACTCATCATCAAGACAGTATTGTACTGGCACAAAAACAGACACAGAGATCAATGGAACAGAATAGAGAGCCCAGAAATAGACCCTCAACTCTATGGTCAACTAATCTTCAACAAAGCAGGAAAGAATGTCCAATGGAATAAAGACCGTCTCTTCAACAAATGGTGTTGGGAAAATTGGACAACCACATGCAGAAAAATGAAACTGGACCATTTCCTTACACCACACATGAAAATAGACTCAAAATGGATGAATTACCTCAATGTGAGAAAGGAGTCCATCAAAATCCTTGAGGAGAACACAGGCAGCAACCTCTTCAACCTCAGCCACAGCAATTTCTTCCTAGGAACATCGCCAAAGGCAAGGGAAGAAAGGGCAAAAATGAACTATTGGGACTTCATCAAGATCAAAAGTTTTTGCTCAGCAAGGGAAACAGCAAAACCAAAAGACAACTGAGAGAGTGGGAGAAGATATTTGCAAATGACATATCAGATAAAGGGCTAATATCCAAAATATATAAAGAACTTATCAAACTCAACACCCAAAGAACAAAGAATCCAATCAAGAAATGGGCAGAGGACATGAACAGACATTTCTTTAAGGAAGACATCCAGATGGCCAACAGACATGTGAAAAAGTGCTCCACATCACTCAGCATCATGGAAACACAAATCAAAACCACAATGAGATACCACCGCACACCAGTCAGAATGGCTAAAATTAATAAGTCAGAAAATGATAGATGCTGGCGAGGATGCGGAGGAAGGGGAACCCTCCTACGCCATTGGTGGGAATGCAAGCTGGTGCAACCATTCTGGAAAACATCATGGAGTTTCCCCAAAAAGTTGAAAATAGAGCTACCCTATGACCCAGCAATTTCACTACTGGTATTTACCCTAAGGAAACAAATGTGGTGATCCGAAGGGGCACGTGCACCCAAATGTTTATAGCAGCAATGTCCACAATAGCCAAACTAGGGAAAGAACCTAGATGTCCATCAACAGATGAATGGATAAAGAAGATATGGTGTATATACACAATGGAATACTATGCAGCCATCAAAAGAAATGAAATCTTGCCATTTGCGACAACGTGGATGGAACTAGAGGGTATCATGCTTAGCGAAATAAGTCAATCAGAGAAAGACAACTATCATATGATCTCCCTGATATGAGGAAGTGGAGATGCAACATGGGGGGATAAGGGGGTAGGAGAAGAATAAATGAAACAAGATGGGATTGGGAAGGAGACAAACCATAAGTGACTCTTAATCTCACAAAACAAACTGAGGGTTGCTGGGGGGGAGGGGGGTTGGTAGAGGGGTAGAGGGGGGTTGGAGGGGGGTGGGGTTATGGACATTGGGGAGGGTATGTGCTATGGTGAGTGCTGTGAAGTGTGTAAACATGGCGATTCACAGACCTGTACCCCTGGGATAAAAATATATGTTTATAAAAAATAAAATTCAAAAAAAATTTAAAAAAAATTTTTTTAAGGAATAAGTTATCAGTCCTCACTAAAACCTCTTAAATAAACATTGCTGAGTGAAAAGCAAAAAAAAAAAAAGAAGAAAGAAAGAAAGAAAGAAAGAAAGAAAGAAAGAAAGAAAGAAAAAAATTATGTAGAAGACACACCCATAAAAACTATAACCTAATATTTCAAAACACAGTAAAGAGAATTAAAGAAAATGGCAGAATGATAAGGACGTCTACCTACTCTTACCACTGTTGTTCATCATCATACTGGAAGTCCTAGCCTCCGCAATCAGATGACAGAAATAAAAGTTATCCAAATCAGCAAAGAAATCAAACTTTCACTCTTCACCAATGACTTGTGCTCTATGTTGAATACCCAAAAAACTCCATCCAAAAATTGCTAGAACTCATACAGGAATTCAGCAACATGGCAGGATATAAAAACAATGCATAAAAGTCAGTTTCATTTCTATACACTAATGATGAGATAGAAGAAAGAGAAATTAAGGAATCGATCCCATTTACAGCTGTACCTAAAACCATAAGAGACCTAGGAATAAACCTAACCAAAGAGGCAAATGATCTGTACTTTAAAAACTATGGAATCCTTATGAAAGAAAGTGAGAAAAACACAAAGAAATGGAAAAGCATTCTATGCTCATGGATTAGAAGTACAAATATTGTTAAAACATCTATGTATCCAAAGCAATCTTCACATTTAATGCAATCCCTATCAAAAAACCATCATTTCTCACAGAGCTGGAACAAGTAATCCTAAAATTTGCATGGAACCAGAAAAGATCCCACCAAAAGAATATTGAAAAAGAAAACCAAAGCTGGTGGCATCACAAGTCCAGACTTCAACCTGTATTAGAAAGCTATAATCATCAAGACAGTATGGCACCAGCACAAAAAAAAGACACATAGATCAATGGAACATAACAGAGAACCCAGAAATGAACCATCAAGTCTATGGTCAACCAATCTTCAACAGAGCAGGAAAGAATATCCAATGGAAAAAAAATACAGTCTCTTCAACAAGTGGTGTTGGGAAAATTGGATGGCCACATGCAGAAGAATGAAACTGGACCATTTGGATGAAAGATCCAAATGCAAAACAAGAATCCATCAAAATCTTAGAGAACACAGGCAGCAACCTCTTTGACCTCAGCTGCACCAACTTCTTGCTGGACAGGTCTCCAAAGGCACGGGAAGCAAAAGCAAAAATGAAATATTAGACTTCATCAAGACAAAATGCTTTTGCACAGCAAAGGAAATAGCTGACAAAACTAAAAGACAACTGACAGAATGGGAGAAGATCTTTGCAAATGTCTTAATAGGTAAAGGGCTAGTATCTAAAATCTATAAAGAACTTATCAAACTCAATACCCAAAAATCAATCCAATCAAGAAATGTGTAGAAGACATGAACAGACATTTCTCCAAAGGTATAAAAAGGCCAACAGACACATGAAAAAATACTCAACACCAGGAAAATACAAAATGAGATACCACCTCACACCTGTCAGAATGGCTAAAATTAACAACTCAGGAAACAACAGATGTTGGTGAGGATGCAGAGAAAGGGGAAACTTCCTGCACCATTGGTGGGAATGCAAACTGGTACAACTGTGGAAAACAGTTTGGAGGTTCCTCAAAAAGTTAAGAATAAACTATCTTAAGACCCAGCATTTGTACTACTAGGTATTTAGTCAAAGGATACAAACATAGTGATTTGAAGAACTTATGGTTACAGCTATGTTTTTGCAAATGCTCTTATCCTTTAGAGATACACAATGAAGTATTTATGAAAATGTCCTCAAGCTTTGAACTTACGTGGGGGAGCCCTAGAAGAGCAACTGCTTACAAATGAGATAAATAATAACTGTAACAAGATGATATCAAGGGTAACCCATCAGTGTTTGAATCATCAGATTTTAAAAAAGGAATTAAAATTCCCTTTAACAACAATGCTAATCTTCACTGCTAGGCTCTCACACCCCCATATTCACACCCTAACTTCCCCTTCCTTCTTTCATTATGCTTTTCCCATTATCAAAGTTCCCATTAAGCAAAAACTATAAAATCAAAGATAGAACAAAACTCAGGTTGTCATGGTAATGTCTAAAAATAAAGAAGGAAAAAGTTCTCAAAGTTAATGATGCATCCTAAAGTGTTTATAAGTGAAATTACATGTTGGGATTTGCTTTAATATACTCTATGAAGAAAAGAGAGAGAAGAAAGATGGCTGAAAAAATTCTCAAAATGTTGTAATTATTGAATCTAGATAACAGATACATGGGGCCCATTACATAATTCTATTCTTGGAGTCTTTCGGAAACTCTCTATAATAAAAGGGCTTTTGAAGTTAAAAAATATATATATAAGGCCTGAGAATTTTCCTTCTCCCTCTGTCTTTGGACCAAATATAATGACTATCAAGCAAGTTAAATGTTTAACAAATTATAGGCAAGGAAAAGAGAATCTAAGAAAATAGGGCTAAATCTAGGCACTGGAATCTGGAAGAATGAGATCCAAGACACAAAGACCCCCTATAAGTATGGGACTAATTTCCAAGAGAAACAAAGGATCCAAATCTTCTCTCCTGGAGTTACATGTTCTTTAGCAGGGCACATATAAAATGGGCAGCTGGACAGACAGGCAGATGGATGGATGGGTGGATGGATGGATGGATGGACAGACACACGAACAGGGTGAGTGACAGATAAATAAAGGATCCAGTAACTGATGGGCCTTTTAAAAGAAATGAATGCTATAGAGACAAGGAGTGGCCATTAGCAGTGGTGATGAAAAGGAAGCCATGACCCTCTGGCCAGTAAGTGTATGCGCAGGTGCATGATCTCTGATGCCAGGGACATGACTTCTAAGATCCCATCTAAAGAAAGCCCGTGTACAAAATAAAGGCAAATAGATCACTAACCAATCTGGGGCCTTATATACAACTTCTCTGATACCATTTGTGTAAATAAAAAATAGCTAAATGCCTGTTAACAGTGTGAGGCAAGAAGTCCAAGGAGACAGAAACAGAAACTAAGCTTGGAGCTCCTAAACTGTAATCTATCAATCAATGGACACAGAGACAAAAAGGGACCTTTCAGCTCCTGCATCAGAACTGCCTTAGCAAGAGATAACATCTCTGGGGAAACTCCATGTTTTCAGAGCTTCCCATTCTGTCAGAGATCACTTCTCAGGAGGCTAAATGCACATAATGAAATCCTCTAACAGGGATGGTACCACAGCTCTCTGAAAAATAATATTTTCTCAATATCCACAGAGCAAACTGGAGCAAGTCTTTATGCAACATAATGTGAAACCACACAACTCTCAGCTGCGAAATATACTTCACCAACAGCACTTACATGGATACAACTTTTTAAACGAGAACAAATTTCTGCAAGGGTACTCAATTCTTTTTTTTCTTTTGTTTTTTTTAAGGGTACTCATTTCTAATCCACTTCTCCTTTTTTAAAAAATCATTTAACATCAGAACTGCAAGGGACCTTAGAAATAATTTAATTTGGTCCTTCATTTTTAAAGATGTAGAGACAGGCTTTTGCAAGGCCAAAGGGGAAAAGTCATAGCAAATCAGTGACAGAGTTAGATCTAGAATCCAGTTCTTCTAAAACCCAGTGTTATGGCTCTTGAAGAACTGGAGTGTTTTTGCATTCATCTTCTAATTTTTCCCCTCAAAATCAAGACAAGCTGAGGTGAAAGTTTTAAAATTTATCTTACTATTTCCAGTGAACTCTTTTTGTTGACATTTCCCCTCAGTGCATCCTGTTCTCTGTATAGGTGGTCATATAGATACCATGAGCCAAGGGGAACTTTTTGGAAACCTACACCTTAGAACCCCTAAGGGCAGGATGACCATATAATTTATCATCCAACCTGGGACACTTCTGAGAGCAAAGGGGTTATTACTAATAAGTACACAAGGACCAAGGTATACACTGGACTCTTCTGGACAAAGTGGAACATATAATTGTCACCCCACTAAAGTATTACCTGCTTTAGCTATCTAGGCCAAAAAGGATCCCAGAGACAGCGCTCTCCTTTCCTTCCTTTTGAATTTAATCCTGACCCATTTTACTGACTACTCCCTCCTCCCTATCTTCATTCACTACCCCCCACTCATAGGGTCCATCCCAGGGATATATATAAATACCTTTACTTTGAATCATCCTTTTTACCAGCTGTAGCATCCTCCCTGAGTCTTCTTTATCCCATCTCCCCATCAACAAGACATCTCCCCTCTAACCCTGACCAGGTTCATTAGCCCAGAATAATTAGGACATGGGACTACAAGAGAACATTTCTACTGGGAATGAAGGGAAAACACTATTTTAGGAGGGTATGTATGTGTAGGTTTGTGATATAAAATGCTGGTAATCTTAATGATTATTAAAAGTACATGGCATCATGAACATCCATATGAAAAAGCAAAACAGATACTAAAAATTTGGTTTTATTAGTAATTTTTTTATGATAGTTTGTATCTAAAATAATAGTATCTAATTCATCTTACCGTACATAGTACTTTGCCGATAGTAAGTACCAAATGAATGCTGGAAAATGAAGGGAGGTTCCATCAAGATGGTGGAAGGGTGGGAGACTCCATTTCCACCAGTCCCCTGAATTTAGCTAGAAATCTACCATGCCACTCTGAACACGTACCCAGGAAATCAGCCTGAGATATAAGATTATACACTTCTGGATCTCTATGGGGGCAGAGGATCATGAGTTGAGAGGTACAAAAGTCAGAGTTGGGATTACGCAGAAAAGATATCAGAGGATAAAGAGAAGGGGGCAGGAGCCACCAGAAACCAAACATTGGAAAGTAATACCCCAATGCAGAAGTGCCCTTCCCTTAAGGACCAGCTATACCTTGGAGACAGGTGGCTGAAAGATGGAAAGGGACTGTTACACAGTGCTCAAACAGAACAAAGGGGCTTAAGGAACAATCACTGGAACTGGGAGGCCACAGGTGCAGGTTGGTCCTGGGACCGACCACAGCCACTGCCCACCTGCTCCTGAGAAGACCTTGCTCAGACTTGAGTCAGCAGTCCCTGGGACTGACAGCTACTGCCACCGCCTCTGCCTCCGCCTCCGCTGCCTCAGCTGAGAGGACCTGGCTGGACTAGAGCCCACGGTCCCGGAAATGGCAGCCACAGGGGCTCAGGCTCGCCCAGACTGGGGTTGCTCATAGTTTTGGTGGCAACAGGAGTATAGAGACAAGTAGGGGCCTCAGTGGACCACTGACAGGGTCACTGGGGGGGTGCGCACAGCCTGTGGGAGGCTGCAGGATTGAAGTGGGCTTACGGGGGAGGGGGCGGGTACTGTGTGTTCTGGACATTTCAGTGACCAACAGACTGTGGCTTCTTTCTGAAGCAGAAGTCTAGGAGCAGACACTTAACTTTGCTCTGACCCTTGGAAAAGGTGGGAAAAGCTGCCAGAGAACAAAAGCCTCCAAGGAACAAAAGCAAAAAAACTGGTTAACAGGTAGCTGAGCCCCATGATAGGGGCAGGACAACACGGCCCAAGCAGGACTGACAGAAAAACAACTCGACAGGCCCCTTCCTTAGAAGACAAACTGAAAGAACAAGAAGAAAATAACCACAGGGTCCCCATAAAACAGTAAAACTTCAACACCATGGGAAAACAGTATATTAAGCTCCTGGTATTGCCTCATAGCCTGTATGTATATTCCTTAGACAACTTTTCTCTCCTTTTTCAAATCGTTCTCATGATTCTTGTTCTTTTTTTTTTAACCTAATTATTTCAATTAGATGTTTAATACAACATATTCCGTAGTATATTTTTAACTTAAACTTTTTCATATACTTTTTTCCTTTTTCTTTATATAGATAGATATAGCTATAGATATAGATATAAATATGAGCTTCAATGTTGTCTTTTTTTCCTACTCAATAATACCTTTATAAATATCTGTTTTAATTTCCTGCATCTCTGGGAAGTTGAGTTCTCTAAAAAAGATAATTAGATACATCCCAGAAGAAATGAAATACCCTTCCTTGCCCACATCAAGGGATTATAAACTGGTTCATATCACCACTCCCTTTTTATTTTTTGGTGGGGTTGTTTTGTTTTTTGTCTTTTTCTTTGTTTTTGTTTTTGTACTTTATAAATCTTACTCTTAGGGCTCATTTTGGCTGTTTTTTTTTTTCTTCTTTTTTGTGGTGACTTCTGATTGTCTGAAGTTCTGAAGACTCTGAACCTTCCCACGGTACATCTTGCCTGGATTGTGGTTGATATTTTCGGCTGTACATCCCCTCCACTACAACTCAACAGAATGACAAGAAGGAGGAACTCCCAACAAAGAAAAGATCCAGAGACAATGGCCTCTCCAGCACATCTAATAATATGGATCTAGGCAAGATTTCAGAAATAGACTTCAGGCTAGCGGTTATGAAGACAATAGTCAGGCTGGAGAAAACTATTAATGACAACATAGATTCGTTAAGGGCAGAAGTTAAAGCAGATCTGGCAGAACTGTAAAAATGCTATCAATGAGATACAATCTAATCTAGATACTATAATTATGTTAGGGTAAAGGAGGCAGGAAATCAAATTAGCTATCTTGAAGACAAACTGACAGAAAAGAAGGAGCAGGAGGAGGCCTGGAACAAACATCTTAAAATCCATGGAAACAGTATTAGAGAGAAAAACGAGGCCATGAAAGGTTCCAATGTCAGAATTATTGGGATCCCTAAGGGGGTGGAGACAGAGAGAGGACTAGAAGATATATTGACCAAATCGTAGCTTGGAACTTCCTTAATCTGGGGAAATGAAAGAAGCATTCGTGTCCTAGAGGCAGAGAGGACACCCCCCCAAGATCAATGAGGGCAGACCAATGCTCAGGCATGTAACAGTAAAACTCACAAATCATAGAACCAAGGGAACCATTTTATGGGCAGTTAGGGGGAAGAGATTCCTTAAATACAGAGGGAGGAACATCAAAATAATGTCAGACCTACCCACAGAGACCTGGCAAGCCAGAAAGGGCTAGCAAGACATATTCAGGGGACTAAATGAGAAGAACATGCAGGCGAGAATACTTTATCCAGCAAGGCTGTCATTCAGAAGAGATGGAGAGGTAAGAACTTCTAGGAACAGCAGAAACTAAAAGATTATGTGACCACTAAGCCGGCCCTGCAAGAAATATTAAGGGGGCGGGGGAAGGTTCTATAAAAGGAGAAAGAACCCAAGAGTGATAGAACAGAGATACACATGACCAATCTATAGAAACAAGGACTTCACAGGCAACATGAGGACAATAAAATCTTATCTGTCAATAATCGCTCTCAAGATGAAGGGCCTAAATGCTCCCAAGAAACGGCACAGGGTTGCAGATTGGATAAAAAGACAGGACCCATCCATATGCTCTCTACAAGAGACTCACTTTGAACCTAAACATACATCCAGACTGAAAGTGAAGAGATGGAGGGCCATTTTTCATGCCAACGGACATCAAATGAAAGCCAGGGTAGCAATTCTCATATCAGACAAATTAGACTTTAAGCTAAAGACTGTAGTTAGAGATACAGAAGGACACTATATCATTCTTAAAGTGTCTACCCAACAAGAGGATCTAACAATTGTAAATATCTATGCCCCCAACATGGGAGTAGCCAACTATATAAGCCAACCATTTACCAAAATAAAGTATCATACTGATAATACTATGTTAACAGTAGGAGACCTCAACACTCCACTCCCAGGAATAGACAGATCATCTAAGCAGAAAGTCAAGACACACGGGACCAGATGGACCTCATAGATATATACAGAACATCCCACCCTAAAACAACAGAATACTCATTCTTCTCGAGCACACATCACAAACCAGGTGTCAACCGATACCAAAAGATCGAGATTATTCCCTGCATATTCTCAGATCACAATGCTTTGAAACTGGAACTCAGTTGGGGAGGGTATGTGCTACGGTGAGTGCTGTGAAATTTGTAAGACTGATGAATCACAGACCTGTACCCCTGAAACAAATAATACATTATATGTTAATTTTTTAAAAAAACTTAAAAAAGAAAGAAAGAAGGAAGGAAAGAAAGAAAGAAAGGAAGGAAGGAAGGAAGAAAGAAAGAATAAATTGGGAAAAAATCCAAACACTTGGAAGCTGAAGACAATCCTGCTCAAGAATGTTTGTGTTAATCAGGAAATCAGAGAAGAAATTAAACAAATCATGGAAACCAATGAGAATGAAAACACATCAGTGCAAAATCTATGGGATACTGCAAAGGCATCCTATGGGGAAAATACATAGCCATCCAAGTCTCACTCAAAAAAAGAGAAAAATCCCGCATCCACCAACTAACTTTACACCTTAAAGAACTTGAGAAAA